TATGTATGTGTCGATATAAATATTGACAACATTTTGTAAAGGCTAGATAGACACTCAACATACTCACATATCATGAAGCGATCGATTCGCGTAGTTCGATATAGTCATGTGCGCATTATGTATGTGGCAATGAAACTTATACGTACACACACACACGCACACACACACACACACACACACACACACACACACACACACACACACACACATATATATATATAACTAGAATATGGTAACATAAAAATATGACAGTAAAAGATTATTATAATGTAATAATAAAAGAATAAGAATAAGAATAGGAACAAGAATAGAAATACGAATAGGAACAAGAACAAGAATTATAACGAGAAAAAGAATAACAATAACAATAACAATAATAATAGTAGTATATATATCTATGAATATACAATTATATATATACCATTGTATTAGATATATTGAACATGTAGAGCCCCAACATGATATGCGTCGACAAGTATCGAAATTTACTAATATCGAAAATCAAAGTCAACTATTATTGAATGCGAATACGATAGTACAAAAGTAAACTTCAATACATTTCAATACATACACAGATAAACTCAAATATTCTTGCCTAACAGATAAACTCAAATATTCTTGTCCAACAGATAAACTCAAATACTTTTGTCTAACAGATAAACTCAAATACTCTTGTCTTAGATAAACTCAAATGTTCTTGTCTAACAGATAAACTCAAATACTCTTGTCTAACAGATAAACTCAAATATTCTTGTCTACAGATGGAGAGCCCATTGAAGCACCACTGCGTATACCTAGATACATAGGTCACATACAACCATACAAAACCCTACCATTTTGTTCATAGCCCTCATCGTATCCACGTTGATTGCCTTGATACTCACATTGCCCGACGCAGGCCTACTCCGGTCGCGCTCATCCTCCTCGTAGTCACTCAGACTGGAATCCGAATCCTCATGGCATTGCTGACTCGCTGGTCGAATGGCGGACGGGCTGGCTATATTACCAAGACCTGTATTAGATATGGGAGGGATTATTTACTGACTGTTGCAGTCCACAACACAGATCACATGCTATCGAGACTCGAATGTACTATAGACCTCGGTGTCGCCGAATGTTTTCCGAGTTGGTCAGTACAGGTGGACAACCGAAAGCCATACCACAGTATATATGCTGTATAGTGATGACACACTCTCAATTGATACTGGATGGCATGAGTGTCAAGCAATCCAAAATTTGGATTGAAGAAGGTTACAGGCCAAAAAACATAGTCGAACGAACCATACATGCGCCCTGATAGCATAGAGGCATGTCGAACTAACGTACCAGAAAGAATCGACAGCCTGCGATCTGGCGTTGGGCTGTGGGCAATGATACCACTGCTGGACCCACCAAACACAAACGGTGACGGTGAACGGCTGGCTAATCCAATCGTGGGCGAAACAGAGCCCTTATCGTCTGAGCTCTTCACCCCAAAGACAAAGACATTACTACTTTGGTCTGGTTTTCGTGGGCTCTGGGTGTTGGACGGAATGTGGGCGGCGCCTGGGGCGGCGGGTATAGTTCGCGAGGGAGATGCGGGTCTATCAATAGAATTGGAATCGAGCGCGCTCATCGGGGAGGCGGCCACGCCGCGCCGGTCCTCGATGGGAGTGCTCTTCGTTACCATGGTGATGGGGGTGACTGGGAAGTTGAAGGTATCCGTGACACCTGAGTGTGGGTGGTTATTGGGGTTTGGTAAGAGATGGGTTGGCTCACAGTCAGACAGCGAAGATTAGAGTTTGTCCCAATGGTCGAAATGTCTGTATCACAAAGAGTTAGATCATCAGAGTGCATCCACGGTATGTATAGCACACAGCAGAGAAAAAAGTACTTCAGTACACAGTGCAGAACACTCTGAGCCATACACTTAAGCTTAACAGCTTAATAGTCGTATGCGTGAGATTCAAATTTCGCCCAGTTGAGAGGAGAAGCAACTTTGCGTGCACTACGGTCTAGCATTTTGCTATGGTTTAGCCCGAAAGTCCGTGCAACTAGCAAGCACAGCACTCGAATCCGGCATTACCACTGCTAAGCTAGCCTCACCTACACATGCATATATACATGCATATACTCACAGTGACCATACCTCAGCGCCCATACATACCATTACACACAGTCGGTCTAAACTCAGAGGTGCTACATACCTGACGGACTCTTGGGATCAAACATGCCGTCCATAGAAGAGAAGCCCATGCTGAGTGTAGAGCTTCGTTTCCTATTGCTAGGCATGGCCTGTTCATTCGCGTGCTCTCTAGCTGCGACCCCTTCAAGGACGGTCGGGTAAGACTCGGCTCGAGCGCTCTCACCCTGATTGGCGTACTTGGTCGGTCTCGTCCGGCCTCTGTGGTGTGGTAGTGGACAATTAACGAGGTGAGGTCGTTTCGAGCGTGACAGCTATCATACTGGGATATGATAAAGGTCGTTCGACCACTGTGGCATGATACTACCTAACAAATTCATGGGGTGATATCCTTCCTTTGTGGGGAATCTGTGATTCCTGAGTGTAGCTGAATTCGTTCGATCTGTGGCTTGTTATTTACATACACTTGCTTGCTACAATACATATACGGATTGAATAGGCTGTTATTTTCGTACATTCGCTTGCAACAATACCAATCTTTCAGTGAATACTCAGTTACACCTTACACACACAGACGCTATAGAATTTCTCGGCAGAGAAATGTACGGCAATACCAGTACACAATACAGAACATACGCGTCCATAGTCCTGGTATATCTCAACGACGACTTTGGCTCGATATCCGGTGTGGCGAATAAGTCGCTGAAGTCATCTTCCAGATCGACGCTCAGTCGCATCTTTCCGTTGACTACAATGTCTGTGACCTTTGCCAGTTTGGCGCTTCTGGGGCTCTTGGGCCGCATATCTGCAGGGGGATGATACGGTATAATTGTGTTTGGGAGATAATATTATGAAATGTATATGTTTGTATATGTACAAGATGTTGGTCATGTAGAATAAATGTGTTCGTGTATCTGTAGATGATCGTGTAGACTTGGTAGTTTGGCTATCAGTAAGAAGACGGTCGTACAAAATATGAAAGTTTGTATATATGTAAGTGTATTAAAAATAATAATGCGTGTTTGCACATCTCTAGGGAGTTGATAATAAGTTACATATGCGTTTTCCTATCTCTGATATTGGTGAGGAACCCACCTGTTTATGTCATTGTAGGGGGATGATCGCATTAACCATATATAGATACACATCTGTAGTGGCGTATTTGTGTTGAATACATGCAATTTCATATACATGTAGTGAGGTATTCCTATAGAAATAAACATGATTCATAACCACAGTGAGGTATTAGTATGAATAATATATGCTCAGATGTCTATTGTGGAGACTATACGAGCTAGCCTGCGGATGCATTGCACAGGAAAGCAAATCCTGCACACACTCATACACCCCATAACGTGCACAAGCTCATGAGATAAATGAATGCAAAAAGTGTAATTCACACACTGCTACACGACCTAACTGTAGTTAATGGTTAAGTATTTAGAGCTCAATATATATTTATGTGTAGGCACACGAGTGCACACATAACGACTGAAGACAAAACATACTCTCCACACGTGGATGAACTCGACAACACTGTGAACAGTGGGTATGTATACATATACATACTCCCCCTATGCTTGTACACTCGAATTTACTGTGATCAATGGGTATGTATACAATATATACATATATATATATATAGATAGATAGATATAGAGAGATACATATATATTATATATATATATATATATAAATATATATATATATAGATAGATATAGATATAGATAGATACATATTATATATATATATATATATATAGGCACACGAGTACACAAAGATATATACAAGGCGACATATACTCCTCCCACGCTGATGCACTCGACCTTACCAGTACCAGCAGTGGCAGAATAAGACAGGCGGTTCTTGCCACCCGCTGAGGTGGGGCGAGGCAGGGGCGACGCTTGTGGCATATCATACAGACTGGTACTAGACAGTTCTTCATTGACTGGGCAGTGAAGGAATAAATCAACATAAGATATCAATGCGATAAATCAAAACGGATTAAGAAATCGATATGTCAACAAAATAGTGAATCAAGATATCAGGTACATAAAACCGCCAACACATCATATCGCGATAGGTGCATGGATGCAAAGGCTGCATGTGATTGAAGCATAACAGCGAGAGTATTGACTACCACTTCTGTATCGGCTCTGATAGTGACCTCCACGTAATGCCACCGAAGCTCTGAGACTAACCTAGTGTAAACACGCTGACACTCAATGGTATACGCTGCAGAGTGACGTGTGAGCATGTGAGCCACAAAAACAGAGGGCGATAAAGCAGCCGCGAGCAATGACAGCCTCTACGCTACACATAGAACAAAAATATTTGAACCTAATGCGTGATGGTACTATTGTGGCGTGCATGACAGGGGGAGAGAATGAAGTATCCAGGTGGAGATGGGCAAGCAATATATAAGACCGTCCAGGCTCTATAAGAAATTTAATTTGGAATACATACACAAAAACACACACATACACACAAATATATATCTATAGATTATATCATATATGTATATATGGACACACAGAGGAAAAACACACACAAATATATAACTATAGAATATATCATATATGCAAATATGGAATACACACATAAAAGCACACACAAATATATAATCATAGATTATATCATACACACACACACACGCACACACACACACACACACACATATATATATATTTATATATAGATAGATTACACACACAAAAACAAACACACATACATACACACATACCACACACACATGCAAACAAATATATATCTATAGATTATATCAGATATGCATATATATATACGTATATATGGAATAAACACACACGCGGGAGAGTATGATACAACACTTATGCCTGTGAATGTACTATCGAATAGAGTACGTCACACACCTTTTTTCAGCGAAGGTTTTGACTGCAAATCTTCTAACAGTTGTTGCATTGGGGTCAAGTTCTTTACTTCTGGAGCCAAGACTCTTTCATTTACCTTCAACAGAATAGACGCACGAGAGCGCAATCAGAGTATTAATTATAGTTTCAAATAGGGAAGGCTTGGCGAACTTCTTGGTAGAGTTTAGGAATTTGATGTTCTCAGATAGTCGGCTCACAAACTTGTACCATACTGCGCATTCATGACAAGATACAACACGTGTTATACTGTGTGTAGATACTCTCTTCGCTCGGCAGAGACACTGGCTACAGCACGTCATTATCACCAACAAATTGGCAAAACACACACACACACACACATACACCCACCCACCACAAACACACACACACACACACACACACACACACACACACATGTTTTTGGAAGCTCACGTGATGCTACACAGATTGCAAGTGAGATGAGCAACTGCCGAGATACTTGCCTCAGATCTCCTACACATCGTAGAAAAACTAGCAACAGTACTACAGCTATTTATCAGCCCATGTACGAACTGTCGCATTACTTGACAGTTTTGAGATCCCTTACACATAGCAGCGCAGCTGACACCAGCACCACAGCTATTTACAAGCCCAGGCACATCACTTGACCGTATGCTGAAGACTGTCCGCACCACAATCTCCAAGCTAAGGACAGCCATACCTATACCAAACAGGCATAGACACGCTCGGTCTACAGGAATGCACCATAGAAGAACAACAATGTGAGCGTGAAAGCTATAGTGACGCGTGGGCTATACCGAGTCATTACCTTCTTTAGGGGTTGGCGCAGCTTTATCTCGGCCATGACGTTACTGAATTTGGAAGCAGGCGCACTGCTCATTCGGCGGTATCCCGGGGCATCACACTGACCGAAGGAAGAATTACAAGCAAAGCATGAGCAAAAAAAAAGGAAAAAAGAAAAAAAAGAAATGGATATTATTGTATATGCAGCAGAAAAGAAGTACCATCTACATACTACTGTTAAATCAGTAATAACATGCATCACACTAGAGCACTTCCTTATTTGATTCTCCTTGAAAGACACATCGATCCCGAATAGGATGACGGCGAAATCACTAATACTGGCACAGGCTAATCGAAAAACAAACAAACAACTCCAAAATTGTAATATAGGGCAAAAGAAACTCACCTTTTTCAATGAAACGCCGCCATTGACCTCCTCTAATATTTTCTTCCACTTCCCGATCTTTAAATCCTTCGCTGGATGCGTTGAATCCACATCACCTTGTGACTCTTGCCTATCATGTCAAACAAAGGTACAATAATGACAATTATTCATCCGCTCAAGTACTAGATGCCAAGTAACTAGATCTTCATACACACGTATCCACACACACACACACACACACACACACACACACACACACACATATATATA